CAAGCACCCTTCTTGCTCCTCCACTGTTGCTCTTCAAGACCATCAAGCAGAGTTGGCATGATTCTCTTCACACCGTAAGAGCTTAGCTTCGCAAAGCACGACTTAGCCGCTGCCAGACAAGCCTCACGAACGTTCGCGTTAGCATCACCGAAGCCCGTCAGCAGCTGGGGCACAATCTGGATCACGTAAGGTTCAAAGACGCGTCCAAGCATAGTTGAGAGAAGTTCATATGCTAGCAAAGCGGCCTCACGCTGATTTGCCTCCTTTTTGTTTTCCATTGCGTCAGTGAGAGTTGAGAGAACTCGGTACTCTCTTAGTGCCGCAATACCTCTGCCCATTACAAGGCCAGCCAGACCATAAGCCGAACCTCGCTGAACAGCATACTTTTTAGAAGTGAGGAGCTGCTCCATGATTTGACCAAAGTACTTGGAAGACTGGTCAGGGCAGGCTCGAATCAGGGGAGGCAGACATTCAGCAATGGCATATTGTACCGTCTCCGAGGGCGTACTTAGAGTTGCCACGAGACGGTCGATAACGATAGGTATCTTGGGATCACCAGGGCTCAAATGGCGAGCCAAGGCACCGTACATAATGATCACTGCCTCGTTGACGCGGTCAGCAGCATCGCTGTTCTTGTCTGGTTGTTCCAAGGTCTGTTCGAATTTTGACATGAGGTCATCAAGGATGCCCTTGCCGTGAATTTCGATGGCCGTGATCGAAGCATCCAGCATCTCACCTCTCACTGCATCGTTTTTATCTCCGAGAGGACCGGCATCGATAAGGAAGTCAAAGAAAGGGTCCAGCTGATCAACCTTGAAAACTGGAGCAATCTCTTTGAAAGCTGTAGCGATACCTTGCCTTCCTTCCCAAGGATCGGACAGATCCATCTTTTTGGGCATGCCGAACTCATCGAGCTGCTGAACCCGGGGCTTGGCAAGCTCGACATAAGTGGTTTTGAGCTGGTCAAGCACCGCATCCAAAGACTCATTATGTAAGCTAGCTGCTTCAGCCAGGGAGCGAGCAGCGGCACGGCGCAACTGCCCATCTTTGCTCTCGAGGAAAGGTAACATTTTAAGTGGCACCTCCGGCGTCACTTCGAAGCCACTCTCCTCCCATATCTCGCGACCGAGATCTTGGTTTTCTTCCTCGTCGTCATGAGCAGCGATCCAGATTTCATCGGAGTAGCCAAGCTCGCTCATGTCAACTTCAGCGCTGATAGATTGCAGCACAGTTGATCTGACTCGAGTTTCAGGCACCAGCGCACCCTTTGCAAGAATAACCATCTCCTCACGGTCCATGTTTGGTGCGATGCAGCGGCACATATCAGCAAAACAGTCCCTGAGGAGCTTGTAATGTTGAGCATATGCCTGCATAGAAGTGATAAGAACTGAAAGAAGCTCGGCACGAGGAACAGCCTCATCACTACAGACATCTGTATGGTATGAGAGGAACTCGATGGCCAATACTAGCTGAGCATCTGCATCATCGGGCGCATCACCAACTCCACCTTTACGGAGAAGCTCCAGCACGAGGGGCAACGCGTAGATGAGTGATACAGAGTCGAAAGGTCGCTGCTCGCCAGCAAACCGTAAACGGTACAAAACTCTTGTTACCAAGTCTTCAACAGCTTCCTCTTGATAGTTCTCTGCCAGCGACACGCCGCGCAGCCTGAGGGCCGCGACGCCGATGAAAGGCCTCATCGAGCCCAGGCGCTCTGTAACCTTCTCTGCGCAAGTTATGTAAGCCAATGGTGCTGCATCACCAGTGATCATAGTAGCACCGGCGTCCATAATGCCGATCAAGAGTGAAACTGCAGTACCAAGCCATTGGGCAGCATCTGTTGGTGGACCAGTGGCAAGGCTTCGGATAATGCCAATGCCCCGTAAAAGCCTTGCCTCGATCTCAGTTATAGATTGCCTGATCAGGCTCTCTTTCTTGAGTTGAGCATTGACTTTTGCGTTCTCCTCTGGGGTTAGCTTCTTCTGTTGGCCCTTCTTTTTCTCAAGCTGACTCCTAAGTTCTTCCTCCCATTTGAGAATATCATAGTCCTTTTTATTTTTGTCCAAGACTTGCTGAGACTTCTTTGCAAGCACATCAACGAACACAGTACCCTCAGGCGTTCTAAAAATGGCTGCTTCGACAGGACCAATATCGTGGAGTTGCTCGGCGTTGAGATCGCGGCTGAGGGTCTCCAGCAGGCGTGGAATAATGGTTTCGGGAGCAACAAAAGCTAAGTCAGCAGCTGCGTTGTACGCAGCTTTCTTGATGGCGTCAACCTGTCGGTATTGTTTAGCAAGATTCTTTTACCCCAGGAACGTCATACGAACCTTCTGGGAGAACGATGTTTGATTCTCTATTTCTGTCACAAGCTCATCTTGGTACTTCTTGACCAGATTGCCAGGGTCCAGTTCCATCCTGAGGCACAAATCGATCCAGTTTGCCCTAGGGATCAGCTCTGGGCGTGCAAGAACAAGGAGATTGTTTGCCTGTGTCTCGAGATCCTCCGTGTTGATGGTTTCCCCGGACTTTTCGATGTCACTAGGGGTCAAACAGATAGCCTTCACAACCTGGATCAGGTTGTGAGCACCTGATGATGGTTCCTTATCAGAAGATCCAGAGTGCTTCAAATAATCCCAGAGGCCGGCAATAATGAAACTTGATACCAGTTTTGGACTACGAACGTACAGATTGGAAAGGGTCTTGGAGGTCTCCTGCTGAACAGTTGCCGGTACGCTCTGAGCGGTAACTAGGTGAATAATTGCTTCAGACCAAGCGAGGGCAACCTGATTATCAGCCCCCTTGTCAAGACCTTGAAAGATAGAGTTCAAAGCACGTGAAAACCACTTAAGATCCTCATCGGCTGTGACCTTAGAGTAGATTCGAGGGCTGAGGAGGAAGGATGACTTGGGATCCAAGGATAACGATTGCTTGGTAACCGATGCTTTTGCCATGCTTAAATCGGCTGCAGAACCAGGAAGCAAGCGCTGAATATGTGTGCTTACAGCCGTCAGAATGTAGGCACCAACAATAAGGCCGTTCTGAGCAGCACTAGCTGCATTGGATGTCACCTCTGTGAAAGTGGTAATGACTTTTGGTATCACTGCGTCCACAAAAGCAGCCATTGCCGAAGACACTGATTGCGCTTCATTGAGGGGTTGCAAGATACCACCGACACGGAGCAACCAGTACTTCCGAGAAGGAATTTTCTTTTCAGTAAGGCCCTTAGTAACGGATTCCAGCACACTTTTGGGGACCTCAGCATCGTTGGTCAATAAGAAAGAAACCGCTTTTGCTAAGGCTGAAGTCTCCGCAGCTAAAGCACTCTCATTCCCTTCTTTGGCAGCGATGACTGCAACTGCGTTTGCGACTTGCTCGGCACTTGCTTTTGAAAGAGGTGCAGTCTGAAGCATTTGCGCATGCAGTACACGGTGGTCAGGAGATGCAAGTTTGCCGGATTTCAGGGGTGTCGCAACCTCGTTGATGACTTTTTCCAATGACGCAGTGTCGCCAGACTTGTTGACCAGGGCGCTGAACGCATCTAAAGAGCCAGCACGAATAGCTGCATTGGTAGATTTTGCATTTGACAAAAGGGGCTTGAGCAGATTCTGCTCAAGGATCTTGGAAAGATCAAAATTGTCAGGGAGACAACGAACAAGAGGCGTGATAACTCCACCAAGAATAACCTCAGGGGCACGCAGAAGACCCTTCTCGAGAGCAGGGATCAGCTCTTTAGATATTTCTTCAAGTGTGGCGAACGAAGTGAAGAAGTCACCGAGTCCAAGCACTAGATGCTCTGGAACACTGGTACGAGAGCCAATGATCTCTCTCGCAAAGAAATCGTAATATTTGGATTTGAGAGAATCGAGAATAGGTCGCAAGTGATCCTTCCTAGCGGATACGCCAGCGATGACACCAAGCAAGACAGCATTCCTAGAGGTCGACTGAGCCCCCTTCGCAGTCAGGACATCAACAGAAGCAGAAAGCCGTTTTTTACTCAGTTCATTCGAAGAGAAGAGTTTCCGCAAACCCCTCCTTGTAACAATGATGGCGGAGTGAGTGACTGACTTCCTGGAAACGGGTTGGTGGCACTTTTCCAAAGCATCCGCGTCTGCTAGGATAATATCGGTAGCAAACTGGTCCCACTGCGAGGTATCGAGATGCTGCATAAACAAACTGCACCATTCGACGAGAACGAATGCATTGGTAGGAGCAATGCCAGGTTTCTGGCTTTCCTTGCGCAAGGCAGCAATGAGCGGGGCGATTGTCTTGGAGTCGGCACCAGAGGAAATGAGCGCAATCAGGCACTTCTGCACAGACAACCGGGACTGCCTATCTGCGTAAAAGGCATATGTTCCGAAAAGGAGTTGGAGGAGACGTGTAATGGAGGCGCTGTCAAGGGCTTCGAAACTATGGTCAGCTGGTTGATAGAACCTTGGAAGAGGACGAGGGCTTGCGCACATTTCTGGGCCAATTTGTCTTCGATTGTGCGCAACTGAGTGATTCGAACAGCGGTCGAGGATGAGGACAGAGCCTGTTTAACGGCGGCCATGTCAAGAGGGGCCGGAGCGCCAGAGTCGGATGAGTCGCCCTTAGACATTCTGGAGTTCGGAAATGGAGGTGTATGTTCGGGTTGGTGAACTCATCTGGGGCTACCAGAGCTCGTGAACGCCAATTCCGAGGCGTAGATCCTCAGTCGAGGTGGTGGGACGTAGGTAATGTCAAGAAGGTTTGGTGGTAGGCTCGTAGTTGGTGTTTTAGAATTTTTGGGCACCAAATCCGTCAAGAGAACGCAAATATCTCGACCTATGGACCTTGACCCCACGCTGAATCAACAGAAGTCACCTTACCTAAGACATCCAGACAGGATAGGTAGGTAGGCAGCTAGTCGAAAGCTCGACAGGCCATTTAGGTGGGGTTAGGAGCCCTGAAAGTCTCTAGCCCACTGAAATTATCGTGGCACGGTATGACGCATCGTAGGTTGACCAGTCCTGATATATCACTAGCCTCCATGACTAAGCCTTCAGTATTAGCACAGAAGCCGTTCAACAATGCACCTGTACCTTGCAGATCTACCTGAGTATCGATCCAAGGACAATCTTGTCACTGCCTAAGGGAGGTCGGTAGATTGCAATTCCGTTGCACTGGTAGTATATCTGCTTGACCATGAATCTGTCCCCAAGACCCTTCTTCTAGGTGATCAATACTTCATTGTTGTGGTACTATCCCTCCCCTCTAACTCATCCTCATTCAGGCACGATCCACAGAACTGGAGATCAAAGCCCTTGCGTCACAACCTCCACCTTCGAATCACTTCACTCCTGCACCTTTCGTCTGTAGATCGGCACTTTCAATGACCTGCAATCGAATTTTGTAGCCCTCCATATTGCAGGGGTGACCCAATCCTCAGTTTCACTAGCAGATTTCTCCCTCGGCCATGTTACCTCCAAACTAGAGAGTGCTCATTCTTTCTTCAAACCTTTCTCTGTCTTTACCGCCTGCTGGCCCTCCGTTGACGATAATGGCGGGTGCGAAAAAGAAAAAGAAGCCCGCCGCTAACCCAGCTCGAGGATTCGCAACTACATCGGTTGCTTCCAAGCCCAGACCTGAGGTTGCCGAGTCTGAATCGAAGCCTGTGACTATCAAAGGCCAAACTGCCCCTCCATCGACCCAGAAGGATGCCCCTCCATCCTCGTCCGCAACCACTGGCGATGCGACTACCAATTCTGCAACCCAGGAGACGGCCCTCAGCCCCGAAGAGTTCGAGAAGCAGTTGGAGGAATCTGAGCTACAATTGCTTGTGGAGAAACATGCAGCCAAAACAAAGAAAGATGCTCAACGGCAACGGAACCGTCTCGATACTGACCGTCGACTCCTTCGTGGCCAGGCCGATTCTATCAATAGTTTTAAATGGCTACCGCCAGATTTGATGGATCACATACTCGACCTCGTGCAAGCAGAAAATCGATTTGCAGCTTCTAGCCTGTCCTCCTCAGAAAATGCTGGCGCTGGGAAGGTGCCTCCTGAAGAAGACATGGTCATCCGCCTCTGGACATTACAACAGACCCTGATCGCAGCAGAATTCCCCACGGACCGAGTGGCGGCTGCGATAAGATATATCCTCGATATAGCACCTAATGTCGCATCGACAAATCGAGATTCTATCTGGGGGCTTGAAGAGGCCCTCGACTGGCTAGCCAGAGAATGCAAGATTGGAGAACTGCCGAGTTACGAACCTAGATCGAAGCCGATCCCGAAAAGCACCACTGGTTCGTCTCCCGACGTCTTGGGCCCCTCTCCGACTAATTATGTATAATAGATACTCCCCAGGACAGTCCGATACCGAGCCGCTCTAGTACTCCTCGTCAAACTGATACTCGGAACGGCCGTAGAAACAAGCCAACTGGGAGCAACGCTCGATCAGTCAAGGGTTCCTCACCTAGCAAAAAAATGGTGGTAGCTTGTGATAGCGACATAGAAGCTGATGAGCTTGTTCCAAAATACCTGGAGACTAAAGCCAAATTGCTAGAACACGAGCGCGGAAAGGGCCGACCAGATAGCTCAAAGATATCGGAATCGGACGAAGAACTTGCTGTTGCCAAGCTCGAAGCTAAGATTAGGAAGATCGAAAACGATGTTCTTTTCGATAAGTATGAAGCCGAGCAACGGTGGAAAGCCCAGAGAATCGATCTTGAAAGGCGACTGGCTGCCGAGAAGCAAGAATACCAAGCTCAATCCGAGGTGATACCAGCCAAGGCGGATGAAACTCCTCATGAGCAGGTGGAAAATGATGACATTAACGATGAAGCTGAGCGTATTGCCGCCGAAGTCCTGGCCGAGGGGCATGATGAGGATGAAGATGATATCGGCGGATTATTTGCATCTCTGCCACAAAATGAGGTTGACGCAAGCACAGGCGAAAGCCGCACAATTGTGAACTTAGCCGATGGAAATCGAATTACAATTCGCGATTTTGGGAAGTGGACGGGCATTAGTCCTCGAAGGGCACTCGAGGAAGCATGCCGTTCGAGGTAAGCCCACTTGATGTCGCCACAAATTGCATAAAACGTGCTGATCGCGAATCTTAGGGACTCATCGGCGAGAATCTCATACTCTTTTGTATCAGATACTTCCTTCGCAAATCGTCATTCCTTGGATATTACCTGGACCAAACCTCAAGAAGTGCCACCACCGGCGGCCTCATCTGACGTACAACTTGTAGCGGACCCTTATAGATTCACTTTCACGATGATCGGTATTGCAACACCAGATGCTAAGCAGTCCGAATCTTATATTTCCACAGTGGCCTTGTTTTATGCCTTCAGCGGCAACGCCAAGGACGAAAAAGTGGTAATCAGACTTCCCCATGTCTGGAAAGACGTTTGGGCGGAACTTGCTGAAGCACGAAAAGCTCAAATTGACGAGCAAGACAGAGATGTGGTGAGGGACTTAAGAGCTCTAGTGCGTCAAAGGCATGACCAGGAGCTTGAAGATGGTGTTATCATTCAAGGTGCGTTTCGGGGACGGGGCGCCAAGCATACTCACGACTCTGGCGACGATGGTGGTCAAGATCGATCAAGGCAGAATGCTGCAAATGGGGAGTACTATCAGAAGATTTGGGCGGAGAAGTCGAGCACGCGAAAGTTTCAGATGATGCTGGTAAGCAACAAACTGTGTTACTAGATTGCCATGACGCTAACGAAACTTAGCAATCCCGAATGCAACTCCCCATGTGGAACTTCCGAGAGCAAGTCTTGACTGCTGTCGATGAGAATCAAGTGATAATTGTTTGTGGTGAGACTGGATGGTATGATCTTTGAACACGTCGTTCTTGAGGGCTTGCTAACTGGACAATAGCGGAAAGAGTACTCAAGTTCCGTCTTTCTTGCTAGAACACCAGCTTTCTCAGGGGAAGCCTTGCAAGGTGTTCTGCACAGAGCCAAGAAGGATCTCTGCGATCTCTCTCGCTCGTCGTGTCAGTGAAGAGCTTGGGGAAAACAGAAATGATCTTGGAACCAATAGATCCCTAGTCGGATATTCTATTCGACTCGAGGCTAATACCTCGAGGGAAACAAGGCTGGTGTATGCAACCACTGGTATTGTAATGCGAATGCTTGAGGGCTCCAATGATCTGCAGGAAGTGACGCACCTAGTGCTTGATGAAGTTCACGAGCGGTCTATTGACAGCGACTTTCTTCTGATCGTCCTGAAGAAGCTCCTCATAAGACGCAAGGACTTGAAGGTTGTTCTGATGTCTGCTACAGTTGACGCGGATCGTTTCTCTGCTTACCTTAGCGGAGCACCAGTTCTCAATGTCCCTGGAAGAACGTTCCCAGTGCAGGTTAGATACCTTGAGGATGCTGTTGAACTTACTGGATACACACCTGCGGATTCTGAGCCTGACAAAATGGTTGACTTGGATGATGATCCTGCAGAGAGTGAAGGAGAAAACACCAAGAGTGATATTTCCAAGAGTCTATCAGGATACACTGCAAGAACACGGTCGACACTGGCTCAAATTGATGAGTACCGTATCGAGTTCGATCTTATTCTGCAGTTGATAGCTCAAATTGCGGTTGACGAACATCTGCAGAATTTTAGCAAGGCCATTCTGGTGTTTTTGCCAGGTATTGCTGAGATTCGCACACTGAACGACATGCTGCTAGGAGATCCCAGGTTTGCCAAAGACTGGCTTGTTTATCCTCTCCATTCAACCATCGCTACGGAGGACCAAGAGTCGGCATTCCTTGTCCCACCATCTGGAATTCGTAAAATCGTTCTTGCCACCAACATCGCCGAAACCGGAATCACCATTCCCGACGTCACTTGTGTCATTGACACTGGCAAGCATCGTGAGATGCGCTTCGATGAGCGACGCCAACTCTCACGCCTGATTGATACCTTCATTTCCCGTGCCAACGCAAAGCAAAGGCGTGGTCGAGCAGGGCGTGTACAAGAAGGGTTATGCTTTCATATGTTCACCAAATTCCGCCATGATCAGTTAATGAGCGACCAGCAGACGCCTGAGATGCTTCGACTTTCTTTGCAGGACTTGGCGATCCGAGTCAAGATTTGTAAGATCGGAGGGATCGAGGAGACACTGGGCGATGCTCTTGACCCCCCCTCGGCCAAAAACATCCGTCGGGCGGTTGATGCTCTTGTAGACGTTCGCGCCCTTACTCAGGCTGAAGAACTCACACCACTTGGACACCAGTTAGCCAGGTTGCCTTTAGATGTATTCTTGGGCAAACTCATTCTGTATGGAGTCATCTTCAAATGTTTGGACATGGCTATCACTTCTGCTGCTATCCTATCTTCCAAGTCACCCTTCTCGGCGCCGTTTGGACAGCGCACTCAGGCAGATAATGCTCGCATGGCTTTCCGTCGGGGAGATTCCGATCTCCTCACTATTTACAACGCATACCTGGCTTGGAAGCGAGTATGCCAGTCTGCTGGCGGCGGTGGAAAGGAGTTCCAGTTCTGCCGCAAGAACTTTTTGAGTCAGCAAACTCTTGCAAACATCGAAGACCTCAAAGGGCAACTCCTTACCTCTCTCGCCGACTCCGGCTTTCTTTCTCTTACTGAAGACGAAAGAAGAGCCCTTTCCCGAGCTCGGTTTTCCGGAGGCAGGGGACGAAGGCAGCAGCAATTTTATGATATTCCTCGAAGAGTCAACCTCAACAGCGACAACGATGTTGTCTCGGCATCAGTTATCGCCTGGAGCTTTTACCCCAAGATTCTTGTGAGAGACGTACCCGGATCCAAGGGGTTAAGAAACATCGGCACAAATCAGTCCATCAGTCTCCATCCATCGTCTGTCAATCGGGGACGCCACGACCTTCGATGGCTTTCCTATTATCATATTATGCAGTCCAGAGCGTAAGTATAGCCGAATACAAGGGAGGTGAGCTGGCTAATATTCAAAAAGGGTTTACCACGCCCATGAGGCTACTGCCGTGGAAGCATTCGCCATTGCACTTCTTTGTGGCGATGTACGATGTGATGTAAGAACACCAAATCTTTTCTATAGCTGTATTACTGATAATATTACACCAGATGTACTCCGGAGTCATCGTTCTTGATGGGAACCGCGGTCGCTTTGCTGTGCCAGACTGGAAAACTATGCTAGTCATGAAGGTCCTCCGGACACGTTTACGAGAGCTCTTAACGAGATCTTTCAAGCAGCCAGGCAAGCTTCCTACTGCTCAGCAAGAAAAGTGGCTTGATGTTTGGCAGAGGATCTTCACACAAGATTTTCAGGATAGATCTACCGCGGGCATAATGAGCAAGGGGTGAGAATACGTATTATATGGGTGTCTTGTTTGACTAGCGGTAAACTGAATATCAAGGTCATCTTAGGATACCAGAAACCAGAACGGGAGACAAGTTGCACATGCTGGGAGGAAGGTGCTTATTGTTTATCTTGCCAGAGTTTCTTGGGGAGTGATTGGCGTATAGCTGACCTGGCTTTGAAGATCAGTGGAAAGTCATCTAAGCAATACGCAAATGAAAGAATAAGACCGCATGATAGCTCAGGTTTGATTTGATTGGTTCGCATTCGACAACTGCATTTATTCGTACAGTTCCATCTAATAAACATTCCCTTCCCTTCCCTAGTCCCCTGGATATCATTGAAGTTTAATGAATTACATTATGCTACATCAGTATACCACTCAAAGCCAGCGACTGACCCTGCACTTACGATTCAGACCCAGGCTTTTCTCCTTCGTCTCCTTTCTTGTTATCTTGGCCACTGGCGAGAAACATCGCCTTGAAGTCGGCGTTGCTCTTCTTTGACGAGGTATCAGAATCGCCATTCTGAGCTGGCTTGGGTGCGCTGGGCTTGAAGCCAAGACCACGGCGAGGGCCAGGTTTCCCAAGCACTGGTCGCCGGATTGTAGTTGGCGGTGGCATGAGAGTGGTTGACGAGCTACCTGCAGCCTTGGTTTTCTGCTCTTGACTCTTGGTCCTGTCCCTGTCCCTTTTCCCGTAGACAATACGGTCCTGGGTACGTTCTGCCTTGGCTTGCCGAAGTTCATCCATTGTGCCAGTTCGAAGCTTATGACCCTCAAAGTCCATACTATTGAGCTGCAAACTCGCCTTTCCCGCAGTGGCTGCATCGACAAACTCGATTTTAGCGCCACCATTGCCAGGGAGCACAGTTAGCTTCACAATAGCACCCAAAGGCTCGACGAGTGCTCGGATTCGTGCATCGTTCACAGTATCAGGTAGGCCCATAAGAGCGATCGTCTTTGCTGAGATGTCTGCTGCGGTGGGTTTAGACTGAGCTTCATCGGGTGCGTCTTCCATTGCTTCGTCACCCTCAGCATCGTGCGGTGAAGGCGCAGGCGAGCTTCTGGCGGTATCCGCAACAACGGTTGTTGCAGCACGTTTAATCTTTGACTCTTTGGAAAGAGCAACTTCTAGGATCTGGCTCTTGAACTTGGTATTGTTCATTTCTGCCACGGCCTTATCGGCCTCCTCTTTGGTCGCAAAATCAATGAAAGCAAATCCTTTAGCCTTACCCACCAGGTTGCGGGGGAGATTGACTCGCGTGACATTGCCATACTTGGAAAAGACTTCTTTCAGATCCGCCTCGGTTGCCGTTCGATCCAAATTGCTGATATGTATCTCTCTGCCTTCTGCAAGGGCACCTTCACGAGCCTTCTTGTGACTGGGGTCAGAATATTTGGCGAGTAGTTTCAAGCCTCCTTCAAGAACCGTGCCATCTTTCTTCACAGCTTTCGCTGATGCCTCCTGATCTCGGAACGAGACATAGCAAAACCGGCGTCGGGCATCGACCTTGAGGCTGGGCAATCTGATGCTCAAGATCTCGCCGCAATCTTTGAAAAGGTCGCGAATGTACTTTTGATCAGCAGCAGGAGGATAATTTGCAACGTAAACGGTCAAATCGTTCCCTAGCTTTACGGTAAGTTGTGACTGACCGAAGTATTTGCCGTCTCTCAACAAGGCGGATTGAGCTTCTTCAGGGGACTTGAATTCGATGAGTGCTGTCGAGGAATCGGTCTTCTCCTCGCGGACCAGAGCCGTTATGTTGTTGATGTGGCCGTACTCTTTGAAATATTGTCGAAGCTTGGTTTTATCAACATCGGCCGGAAGATTGGAGACGAGGATGGTTGAATTCTCCCTGTCTCTCTTTAGGGGCTGGCCGTGTTGAGTTGCCAGAGCTTGTTCAGACACCACCCCGTTGGGCTCATTCCTTTGTCGCTTGCTGTTGTTTTCAGGTCCATCTGTGGGGTCAACTTCCAAATCCCTTTTCCTCTTAGAACCACCCGGTGATGTAACCCCCTGGCCCTTCTCTAGGGTTTCAGGGGCAGTATAGTACGCGGCATAGGCCGCAGCCTTCTCTTGTTCCTCCCGTTCCCTGCGCTTTTTTACTTCTTTCCCGGTCTTGTGAACCCGGTCCGCTGCCTTTCGCAACGGCAGTGGCATTTCATAGTCGTTGCAATGCTGCATATACACCTCCAGAACTTTCTCTGGCCAGTCAATAGTTCTGCGAGCAACAGCACGGGTAAGAACAGCAGTAGCTAGAGTTGGTATTCGATAAGTGCCACCGCCAGACGAAGGCGTAGGGCTTCTGTTGTCTTGGGCACCGGCTGATGAGAAGATGAGCATCTCCCACATATAATACCTGAACCAAAAGTCGTGGTTATCTGCATGGATTTGTAGGGCTGCCAGTTTGTTCCACTGAGCTCTAGCTTCGTCCACGGCACCCTTCTTTTCTGTGAGATACTGAATGTAGATGCGCTCAAGTCGAAATTTGGGGTCACCCTGGAAGTCCTTGTCGTAGAGTCGCTTTCCAACAACTGAAACGTCCTCCAGAGCTGCAATAAGACCGACATCGGCAACATCAACAGCCTCGTCGGAGGCACTAGCATCCATAGCATTGCGTTTCAGGAACCCACACCAAGCCACATACATTTCGATCATTCCCTCCATGCCATCTTTGAGTAATTGATCCTCACTAGTTGCAGAATGTTTGATGGACTCAACCTCAGCGAATGGACGCTTAGCCTCTTCGGCGCACATAATGTATCTATTCCAGAGAAGGCCGGACCAGGGGCAGTGCTGAACAGCTCTACGGAGTACGTCCAGTAGACTGCTCGGCGCTTGGAGATCGGTGTTGGATGAGGATAGAAAAACGATGTACTCGTACCAGGTATTTTGGTCTGTAGCAAGAGCACCGGTGAGAGCACGTGCGTAGAGGCCGCGGCATAGATCAATTCCAATTTCGGGATTGTCGTTGCTGCGCTTACTCTGAAGCATCTCCCACTCGAGATACGTAGTGAAGGCCGTTTTCTGGGCTTCGACATCGCCTGCGTCCACCGCTTTCTTCAGAGCAGATTCGTAGGGGTCTCGAGCGGCGATCAGTCGTTTCGTCTCCTGGGCATTGGTGGTAACATCCTTCATGGATTCCTCCCATGCAGTGCGGTTATACTCTGATAGGAAAGTAGAGAAGTTCTGGGATGTTTCGTCCCAGGTAAGATGGGGAGTAAGCAGGCGGTCACGGTAAAGATGCGTGATGCGCTTTATGCCTTCAGGGGTTCTCGTCTTAGCCAGCAATTCCATCTCCAGTGAGATCCAGCGATCCCAGAGCAGATGACTATCCCCTAGGCGGTAGCGAATAGCCTCGTAGCCTTGCTGCCACAAGTCGAGAGCGCCGCCAAAGGAAAAGAGCTCTCGGCCGAGCATGCGCTCTTCATCAGACCAGCCATGGCCTGTAGGGGTCTGAGTAGCTTCCCACAAGGACCAGAAGTAGTTGCAGTAGGCAAGCCAGATGCGCAAGCTACCAGGCTCAGAGCCAACAGCCAGCTTGTAATGTTCGACAGCATTGACTCGCTGCTCGAGGTCGGAGGCGTTGCGGACGATCTCTTCGAGATAGGCAAGCCAGTTCTCTTCGCCTACTGGGTTGACCATGTTTGTCGCGTGTGCACGTTTTGGTGGAGGCGCATCACAGTATGCTCTTGGTATTATCGATACAACCTCAATAGCGGCGCATAGGATGTTTGAAGGTGAAACCGGGGGAGGGGGGGCAGTCGAAAGACCAGAAATTGTTGGAAACAGGTAGTCGAGGAACGTGTACGTGTCGACGCTGTCGCGGAACCTCTCGGGTTCGTGGGAATGAAGGGCTGGATGCGATGGGAAAGTTTGGGATCTGGTAAAGGAGAGACTGAAAGATTGGGATAATGGTGTCTGCCGTCTGGCAGTACCTGTTCAGCTCCGCTGAGTCAGTAGGAAAGGAAATAATGGAGGCCTGGATTTAGAGGACGCAGACCAAAGGCAGCCTGAGGTTGATCAGCGGTTGCCTTGTATGAGTCTGCAAGACTGCACGCGTGGAGTGGGAAAAAAAAGCTGCTGCCAATAATTCGACACCTTCCAGTGGACTGGACTGGGCTGGGCTGGGCTGGGGACTAAGTTAAGCACAGGGATGCATTTTCCCAGAAGAACGGGAAGCGAAAGTCGTTAAAATGATGTAATGCCTGGAACTTCACTAAAGTTCAGGGTACATGCAGCGCAACCCTTCTCTGCTGCTCGTGTAGTAGAGCAGATGATCTTGAATTCAAAGCCAGCAGCACATTGGCGTGGCCATGTTCATTTTTGAGGCCTACAAGTACCCCTGATACCTCCCTATAGTTTATATGAGACCTCTAGCATTGAAGAACAACAATTCATTCTTCTTTCCTACAGTCAAAGTGTCATTGTTTTCAGAGCATTCTAAACAATCCTGGCTCCTGGGTCCTTGAAGCCTCAGTACTGGATACATTTGCACTGGACCCGTTGTCTCTTGGTCGATCCATTTCCCAAAATGCACAAGCTAACAGAGAGTCTAGACCTCAATTCGACCCGGTCCTTCCAGGCGAGCGTGCAACGAGGCGCCTTGCTGGCTTGCACAGCTTGCTCCAATTGACCAGCTCTCTTCATCGGGTCATCAAATTTGGACCCCGAGCTGTTATTCCCGGCGCACGGTCACCATCGGGCTCCCGGCCTACAAAAATTCCCGAGTCAATCAACCACAACATAATGTGCAGGAATTGGCAAGTGATCATCTTCACTTTCAGTAAAGACCCAAAAGAAAAGTTGGCGTTAATAAAATTGAGAGAATACTGGTAATCAAGGTGACAAGAATCATCTAAGCTTCATGTCTCAATTTTGTAGGCTGTAGGCTGTAGGCTGCACACTTGCTATCGCGGTCTGCCTTATAATATGGTGTCACGAATTTCGTTTCCCAATTAAGCTTCTAATGTTTTGCTCGACGCGGTGTCTTGTAATCCCATCTGATGGAACTTCAACGTTATTCTAGACATTCGCATTCCTGCCAGGCTAGGTAGGTATGTGCTTTATTACAGAATCCATCCCAGTGTTGGACATTCAGCTGCCAGTTGAGGGCATTACATCATCAAGAATACACGAATTAATGGTTTAGGCAGTCCGTAAGATTCAGTTGGGTTGTAGACCAGACTCTAGCTGTTTTCAATGCCTCGAGTTATGCGGACTTTCCAGCCTTTTCCAAAATATGCCAAAATAGCCGTCACGTAGCAAAAAAGCCTCTAACCTTTGACCAGACCAAAATTAACAAACCTGAAGGCCCTCCAAGTTTGACGAAGCCTACCCAATTATTTCTGTCGTCACTAGGATCTAGGTCTCATGTTTTCTTGTCGCTAGAACGGTAATACAGCTCCCAAGCTATAGGTACCTAAGCTACTGGATAAAGTATGGATCCAATGGCTCGGATGCATGATCCCGATTCTCTTGACACATTAGCGTACCCGGCCACTGACATGACAATGTGCGGATCAGCTCGTGTGGTTGACTATGTTTACCAATACCTCGCCTTTGCAGCACTTCTTCTTCACAAAATTCCCAAGCACGCAACGTTGTATGACAAAACTGACAATCATCTCTTGTGTGAAACGTGGATGACGATCTGCCTAATATCAAACCTACCTATGTTAAGGAAGACGAAGACGATTCTTGCATCGTCATTGTGCTCCACTGACCAAGAATATCGTGTATGTGTTAGACAAGACGGATTTTTCACTTGTACAAAGTACATCGTCGAAAGGTGGTTTACTGTAGGCGGTACCTTCAAGACTTCCATATCTGAGTACTATCTAACATCATAAGCCTGTCGTTGAAATCACGATATATTTAAGTGGCCAATAAGTAATTCCAGATGGACAGCGATATTGCTCCAGGAGTCACGTTAACTACAGTACAATCCCGGTGCATAGGAAACCTCAAAGCGCCGTTAGAGGTAATTATTTCAGTGCAACTTACGAAGGCTCCCTCACCATCAAGTGAGCCGACTGCAGGACGTCTAGCAGAGTGGTTAAGGCTGAACATTATGCCATTGGATAAAGAGCACATTTTCTTATGTCAGTTGTTTGATCAAGACGAATATGCGCTCAATGACAGCTTAGGCGCTTTGGATCAAGGAGACACAGTATGGAAAGTCTAACAATGGGATCTCAAGGCTGCATACCTCATTTAAATATGCCTAAAGCATTCTTGTGAGGTGAGCTCTCGAATTTGCTTGTGTTTCTTTCCCTTGAATTGATAGATCTTGAGGCTAATGTTTCACGCTAAAAAGAACAGTTCAGCTCGTGGTCTGGACATGAAGTACCTATTTGCACACACAAACACAGAAGTCTGTGGATGAAACAAAGATAAAGGCAACCTCTGAATCCAACGTCCTGGAAATCTACAGAATGAAATGGCTCAGGAGTTTGTCTAAGCATAAAACTCTTCTTTCCTGATGTCATCAAGGTTGAGCCGGCCTTGTTCAGGGAGCTAGAAGCACAATTTTGATCCCTTTGTACCATTGTCAGAAGCTACGTGGGTGAATCCCTGAGGCCGATCTGGGGCCATCCGCCTCCAGGTTATTGTCGCACAAGTGACAGGCGGATGTGCCGCGGTTGTTTCGCCATGTGCGGCTGTACAAAGAATCTGACAGAGAAGCACCAGTCCCTACCGCCCCTGTGACGCAAAGGCAAGACGCGTGATGCATCAGCTTCGCCATATTGAATCACTGTCTTTGATTCGCAGCTAGCTTTTTTGACCGCCATACTATACATGGCATTAGTTGATGACCACATCCATCAGAAGCTATGAAGGACTCCGACTAAGATGACTCTCCACTACGGCTGTCGTCAAGAATTTGCTTCAGGCTCGATGTTAACTATGGGGGTCAAGTTGCTACCTCTCTCCGTCCGTAATCAGTCCACAATAGCCCGGGTGCACTACGGCGGTCATCCCGTGCAAGACGCGTTGTCAAAGAAGCATTTCCGTATTCTAGCATGGATTTGGGTATTGGGTCCTGGTTGGTTGTGCTCGCATTGTTCTGGGGCTTGCTGGGATGCAGCTTGCACATCCCAATAAAAGTCACGAGTTCTGAAGTGGGTTGCATAAATGGCGCTCTTTGATGAGTTGTTTCCTTTCTGCAGCTCAGCTTCCTCTGGTCAATGCAAGTGGGCTCTCCTCGTGAAGCGCACTGCACTGGGCGTAATTTGTGTCTGCGTATTATCTGTTGTGCTCCGCCAATGTGTCGGTCTCGTATCTGTCAGAGAAAATATAACATTGGTAGTCACCGTGTATCAAACCGCATAAGGTTTGAGATAGATGCACCAGCCCCGAAAGGACCAAGACGCTAGAAGACTGTAACGTAAAGGAGGGGAGAAGGGACAAAGAAGAGAGCAAGAAGCCGAAATCTCGCGCGCGCCATCGGTACATACCTTATCTCACAGAGTCACACATAACGAAGTAATGGAAACTTAACAAGACGAGTCAGAGAAGAACATCTAGGATGTGTGATTTTCTCTCAGTCCCCGCAGGTACACATCAATACATACAGAAAATACCTAAGTAAGGTAGTCAGATGAAACAAGCGAGACCATCTCGGGAGATGGCTATTGGGCGGTAAACAGGCCAAATGAGCTAAGGAATCTGGGATAGTTGGCGCTAGTACCTGGCGCCAGGGGAATATCCAGTAACCCCCCGCCGCTAGCAACGCTCTCGCAGCCCTGAATGGCAATCTTGCTATGCTTGCTTGTGCCCTTGGGGAATGATTGGCCCCCTTTTGGGAAAAGAGAGGGAACTGACGTTGATGGCGGTGCTTGTCAGTTTTGTGATGTTGGATCCGGTCCCTGGTGTTGCAGGAGACCAAGCCGCCAGGGGCACACAAATGCATGCACAAGGCGTTTTGTGTACAAAGAGTGTTGGAAAATCAAGGGCGGAGGGCGAAGAAACAACCAACACGCATCCAATTGGCAGCCCAGATGAAGGTAAGGTACTGTGCCTAGACCGGCAGAAAGCTTCCATCTATGCTATTTCTAGGGCTCCCCCGTGTCTATGTAAAGCTAGATCATCCCCTGGAAGGATCTGATACCCATCGAGCTGGGTCGCCCTTGTCTGTAACAGCACTGGACCAAGCTTGCTTGTGCTTGAAGCATTATTATTATTATTACCCTATTCTGCTTCTTCAGCTTGTTGCTCCCTCCCACGAAAGAGCGAGGGTTTGCATTGCATTGCATTCTTTCTGACCTCAGTGCAATCTTACCAGGTCCCCCGTTCTTTTCCCAGTTCCCCGTCCACTTCATTCCTTACTTCGTCTCATCTCATCTCATTTCAATTGATCGCTTTACTTTCTTACTTTCTCTCCCTTTGGCTGTTGTCGTCACCTGAACCCACCTTTCTTTCTTCCGTTCTCAAACGGCTTCGTTTCTATTCTGCTTTCGTCCTGTCCTGTCCTGTCCTCGACTCGACTCGACTCGACTTCTCACGACCACCTTTCCGCGCTGGGCTCTTTCACTCTCTCAAGTGTCCCTCATTATCTCACCATCTAGTCATTCCTTGTGGTCAATTCTTCGTATTCTTCTTTCCTTACGTTACCTTATTGTTCTTTTCCACCTTCCTTTCGAATTGCTCACTCTGGGCTAAACCGACAACAACAAATCCGCAACCTTCATTCACTCGTATTCTTCCCGGGGACCCTCCATCCGCTGCATCGAGTGCCACATTGGACCAAGCCACTTCTGTTACATTACACGACATTGTCCGACTCGTCTCTCATTTCTATTTGAAGATTTCTTTTCCGATTCTCCTGAGGGATTGTGCCTGGGTCTACCTGCGGCATTTTATCGTTCTTATCGCAAATTTGGAGCCACCATTGTCACGATCCATCCCTGTGACCGCACCTGCCACCACTTCTCACACTCAGCTCTTTATCCGGCCTGTTGTGAACTTCGGACTTGGTTCACCTCTGGCTACTAACGATCTTTCAAAGTAGCGAGGTTTTATCTCGCTGCATACTTCCTCCGACATGCGCTTCTCTCTTTCAACTCTCGTGGCGCTGGGCGCCTTACAGACTCTCGGTGTCTATGCTCAGGACTGCGTCGTAAGTGACTAGCGCTTAATCACTATGCATTCACTCGAAACAGGTGCTGATGGCCTCCAGAACACATGTGTTGAATCAGTAAAGCCAACTGTGGGCTGCGCAGATGCCACCCAGGCCGGTTGTATTTGTGTCAGCCCCAGCTTTGTCAAGGGTGTGGCTGAGTGCGCAAGAGCGCCGTCATGCAATGCTGCAGACGCCGATATTACCAGCTTTTTGAGCAACGGGTTTTGTGTGGGTATGTTGCCAGAATTCAATAGTATCTTACACAAAATAGTGAAGACTGACATGACTTAGGTCAGCAACTCCCTGCCCTTCCAGAAGCTGCCGCAACGTCGGCTTCAGGCGCAGCGACAACATCTGCAGCAGCTGTAGCAACTTCGTCCGAAGTAGCAGCAGCAACATCGGAAACCCCTGCCGCGGCTGATACCTCTGATGCTGCATCAAGCTCTGCTGCGCCCCCAGTAACTTCAGAGGCACCTGAAGCTACTTCGACTGATGTTGTCGATGCGACTTCCACGGCTGAAACTGCCGGTGCCGTCGAACCTACTGTAAGAAGGCTGTTACATTAAGCGTTGAAGGAAGCTGAATACTAAACATTGACAGGCCACTGGATCTGAGGCCTCTGCTTCCTCCACCGATGCCGACAGCTCATCAACAGCTTCCGAGGCGGCTGGTGCTGCCGCTACCTCTGACTCTTCAGATGACGACTCAGACAAGAAGGAAGAATCTTCCAGCGGCATGTCTGGTGCTGCGAAGGCCGGTGTTGGTATTGGAGTTACTATTGGTATCCTCGCACTTCTCGGCATCGCAGGTTTCTTCTTCTGGAAGAAGCGTCAAAACCAGCACGATCTCCCTCGTGGAAACATGGCAAGCATGTCACCGCCTATGGCTACCAGGGACCGCAGTTATCCCTTGCCCGACCAAGGATCGATTGGCGAGAAGAATGGATATGACCTTGAGCTAATGTCCCATCGATATGAGGATATGCTTCCTCGCGAGGAACCGCGACACATGGTTTGAGCAAAGCTAGCTTGTGGGAGATATCGGCGTTTAAAACGGGGCAAAGCAGAATCAATATATGGCAGATGACAATCGCATACGCACTCTATTAATCACTGCATAGCACATGTCTAATTGTAGTCCAATATTAGCCACTCGGCAAGGCACCAGCACATACCGCTTTATGAAACAGTATGGTTTTACCAGCGAAGGGCGGACGTTGATGGATTTGTTAATCATGAGTGGCAACAAGATTTGAACCAACTCGACGTCAGACGATTATTTTATGAACATAAGGCCAGAGCCAATATACCACAGCAAAGTATATCGAGTTAGCACTGGAGTGTAAACGTCAATCTCAGTCAAGTGTACATCCCATTCACTGTACATATCTTACAAGTTTCTATGAGAAATTACATGGTGGCCTCTGGTGACGCTTGAAGACTCCGTCTCTTCTTTTTAACTCCATTTTCGGATGGCAGTCGTGGTTTCACCACGAGTAATATGGCCTCTGTCCATATACTGGTCGGTTGGGGAGATGCACCCAGGGTCCCTTCTTATTCTTCTTTTCCACACGCTCCTCGTACTCTCGTATTCTTGTCTTCTCTTCCTTGAGTAACACCGTTAGACCTAGAGATGAGTTAGTAATTTCAAAACCAGATATGTGACCAATGCGGGCATACTTGTGCTGGGATGTCTGATGATGCCCATGCGTCCACGACCCTTGTAGTCGATTCTCTTCCCACGCCAGGGACCCCTCCCAACCCACGATTGAGCGATATACATTCGCGTAGGGTCCTCAATCTCAATCCATTTGCCATCGACTGTTTGGATCTTCTTGGGAGTTTTCAAAATCTCATTGTTGACTTTTCCGAGTCCCATACCACGCTGTGCAATAGCCAAATCTCGAGCCTCCTCAAGGTAATATCCGATTTCGGCTGCCATCTTCTTCTTGGACCACTTCATCTGCACAATGGCGTCTTCGACGCTCTTTCCTGCGATTTGACGGGCCAGCATTACGAGTTTCTTGACACTTGTGGGCATGAACTCGCTCTTGTGCAGAAGTTGGCGCTCTGACATCTGAATGCGCTCGTCTCTTGTCAGACGGCCGTTGCGGCGAACCATCTGAATAACCTTCTTGCGCTGCCAACGCACTCGACTTCGAGGATCGGGGTCCACAACCATGGCCATGTTCTCTTTCGTCTTTTGCTCGATCTCGGGGGCACCCGGGGTGGTGTCGGTACTGACTTTTTCGATCTCGTCCTGGAAAATGTTGTCCTCCACACCACTGTACATGCTCTTCTGTAGATATTCTTCACGGCTCTTGGGGTCATCGAGCAGAGATGTAGGGTCCTGTGCGGGTGAAGCTCCAGCGTCTTTATTCCGGGGTTTGCCCCATCCTTTGAAGAGATTGGAAGCCCATTTATGCCGTCGTTGTACTGAGGGTCCGACAGCAGCAGAGAAAACAGGAGCTGGTGTACTAGATACAGGGTGTGCGGTCCTTGCTATAGAGAAAAGCACTTGATTAGTCCCTGTAGCTTCTGGGCCAATTGAGTTGCAAAGAAGGCGGGCTGAGCGTTGCCGTACCTGATACTGCCAGCCGCCGCGCGGCAAATCGGAGACTCATGGTTGCAGATGTTGTCGGGCTCTGCAAACCGACCACTCTCTATGTATCTTCCAACTGAAGGTCGTTTCAATGGGCGAGATTCTTTTCCGCATAATTCGCCGTTGTTCAACCGGAACGCCGGACGATAAGCGTACACGTGACTCGGGTGCTAGCGCGATTAACATCAGCCCATCTTCGGAATCAACTTGGACCTGCTTGACCACATCGAAACTCCCCAGCACCTCTATACTCTCTCGAAAGCCTCGCTCCTTCGCCCGAACAGCTTCGCAAAAGTAAACTAGTCACAATGGCCGTCCGACCCATCACCGGTGTATGTTTCCTTCGACTCAATGGCTCGCTTTTCGCACTCGACCGGGCCAGAGGAGCCTGAGCCTCCCGGTACCAGAGCTTTTCGTGGACTGACAACTGCGCTAGATGCTCCGACGAAACCTCGTCCTGGACCTCAGCATCGCCCTCGGTACGTCGATTTCTCTCACGGAATGAATCGGATTGCATGAATTGGCAATTACATATTTCAAGAGGAGGATTCTTCGAGGGGCTGACAATTCGAATGATGTGGTTGGTTGGAGTGCACCTAGCTGACTAGCAACCTCGCAGGCTCCGGCTTCGTCATGGCCAACTTCTTCTGGTAAGCAATATCACCGATGACACGACACGAGGCTGGGAGTATATGCTCACCATTCCGATTCAGGTACGGCTTCCACATGCCCCGAACCAACGCCCGCGACAACTACTACATCAAGCTCGAAGAGGAGCGAGCTGCCCAGAAGAACGAGTAAAAAAATCAACGGACCGAAACGATACTTGGTCATTTAAGCAAGGGCAATGAGAGATGGGAGTGCACATAGATACGTTTAGGCGGCTAGCCGATGTTTCGTTTGTCGTGTAGCTGGGTAGAGAAGAGAATACCACCAACGCTTCATTTGAAACGGTCTTCGTGCATTCTATATTCATGGGCAAGGGCAACCGAGTTTCAATATGTTTGGAATGCTGGCAATGAGCTATTGAAGTGCAATTCGTGAGGCTGATAGTATATCTGGGATCGACAGGGCAGTCCTGTGTGATCGAATTATAATTAGATATGCATTCATCCATTGTTGGTCGATAGGAGCAATTTTGTTCCAGATCTCAGTCTGAAATCTAGCAAGTAGTACCAGTTTGTACTGATTGTGTAAACTAATGGTTCGATAAAGATGTTGCTTGCTGAGCACCTCGGCCCATTCTGGCAATGCCGTCATCAACTTCTTGCAGACCTGCAGGTGACTCAGCGCTCTAATGTTCAACCTCACGTCAACTATCGCAGAACCAAGCATTATTTGAAGCTGCATTTTTCCTTATTCTTTACCTGGGTCGGTCGTACGCACGACGGGATGCATGCCCAGCTTGACTGAAGACTGTTAGGGCTAACAATGACGGTTGAGTTTCACAAGAGAGTCAAAGTCTCCCTTGAGAAGTAAGCATGCTATATGTGATATTCAGAGACAATAGCAAGTTGCCCTGGGTTGATCTAAAATCGATGGTTTATCGTGCTGCGTCGGGCGCGTGCCAACTTGATGACCAGTGATAGTGCTGAGGAGGCGTCCTGTCTTTGCTGTGTTTTCCATCATCACTTTTCTGTCCCACCGGAGGATACTCTTTGCCCTCCCAAGCCGTCGTCTCGACCATAAAAGAGCCCTTTTTATCTTTACATCTATACGAGCAGACAGCCCACGTCAGATCATTTGTGACACATTATACCTATGTCTGGGGCGCCATTATAGGATCAGGTGGGGGAGAACTTACTTCCGGAACAATCGCTCAATCGCAAAGCATTGTACAGGACTATCCGGCTTGACGGGCTCTTTGATTTCGCACTTGTACTGCAGCATCTCGAGAAGTTCGCATCCAGAGAGCTCGACATTATTGACCCCTTTATCCAATTTGCGCTTTCGGCCGCTTAGATTAGTCTGCGCGCGCTCGGGAAGCTCTGAAGCGTGGAAGACTTGGCACGGATAGCCCATTGTCAAGAACAGTGAAGATCGTACTGAACGATCAGCATCCAAATAAAAGGCCCCTGGCAAGTCACTATCTTTCGGGGTCTCAGAATGGAGACAGCAACGGGGAGTCGGTTATTAGGTGAGGTTGTTGAGATGAGCCTTGAAGACGTAAGTTGAACTCGAGATTTTGGGCCTAAGCTTTTTGCCTATTGGACAAGCATTCAGCACACCACGATTAGATATGTTGTGATATCGTCACGAGAAGTCCATCACACTGCTATGGCTTCTTTTGACTTTGTTTCGCTTTCGTTTAATCACGGCGAAACCCTCGAAATACCTTTACATATCACGTATCAAAGACCTTACGAACTGGTGTGGCTTACCCTTGAGCCACCGAAAGAGTGAAGTCAACATCACTTTTGATCCAGGCCAACTATAAGGGCTTACATTTTCGAGCGACACTCAGACTGCTACTTATTGAATTTAGAGACTTACTAAAATATCAATACAGGTCCTTCGAAACTTACGCTCTTCACTCCCTCCAGATCCCAATCGCTTGAGCGGTCGGGATCAGGTCCAGCATCAACCTCAAATCCTGCCAACCAAACTTACACACATATCAGAACTTGATGAGATCACAGCAGCTCACTTCCATGCCACAAAATCTGCTGGTCTTGGCATATCTGGCCGTCATCTGCCACTACTATACAGGCTCATATCAAACCTCATCACCCCTCCGCACCTCTACGCCATTCTGGTCATCGATATTGAAGGTCGTTTTGATACCACGCGCCTGACTTGTTCGCCATCTCATTTGCAACACGTCTACGTCCACCGCTCAGCACGAAGTGACCCAGACAATACTCGTGCTCTTGTAGCCGAGGCAGAAGGCATGCTTCTCTATGGAAGTGTCGCAAAGACGAGTGCCGGTCGCGAATGGTGGGGGACCATCGTTGTGGGTGGCGTTGGAGCTGGTGATATTACAACAGGCTGGAAGGGATGGCTACGTGTTGATCGCGAGAACGTCCGTGGCTTTGCACCGGGTATCAGTGCAGAGGAAGCTTTGGACCAGAAGAGGCAGAGACAAGATATTGTCGATGCAGCTGGCTGGGCTGCTACCTCGCAGTGGGGAGGTTTCGTCTTCAGGGAGGCTGATGAGAAAGCGTTGGAAGAGGATGCGGACCCAGAGAAACCCTTGGATACTGATGAGCGAGACGAGAGCGCCCGAGACTGAATCAATAAAGGTTCGGGTTACCGAAGAATTAGCTGCTTCAGACTCATATTCGCGTTGATATCGAATAGTGCAGCCCAAAGCTATCAAGGAAACCGGATACGAGGTTGCAGGCGAGTCATCGGCGTGGAGATTGACTGGAGAACACAGTTGCGGACTGTATCATGCGGCTTTTGTCATAAGTCCGTCTAGTGGGCGTCGTCGTAATCATCATCGTGAGGCTCATTCTCATATCCAGTACTTGATGTAGATCCAGGGGGAGGCAAAGCTTTCGATAAGACACTGTCAAGGAACAATGGGTCAGTGACATCGTGAAGATCAGACCTCATTGTGACGCCAACAGAGGCACTTCATCAGGCCTTGGGATCAAGGCGAGCTTCGGTCGTGAATATGGATATAAGTGGACTACCTGCCGAAGACGAGTTGCTGATCAAGCCAGTGGAGTGGACCAATGATGTATCGAACAAGGTCTCGGTGCAACTCCCGATCCCCTCGATCTTAACAAACACTATGTTCCATCGCTAAATGCACCACTGGATTATGGACCCAAACTTTCTTCTGAATGATTGTGATGTGATTTGTTCCACCCACTACGATGGTAATTCAATAGTCTAAGTGAATTCAAGATGTTTTTTTCTGTGGTTTATGAAATTAATCACTTCGTAAAGTGCTGCCTGAAGATATTACAAGAGCCTTGATTTTTTCTATCTTTTTGCTGTTCTATGGGATTTGATGTGATGCTCATCAGGGTATAGTAGGGTGCTGCATCAAAGAAGGTAAGAATCTAGCTAGATAAGATGAAAAGCCTCGAATCTAGAACCCATCCGTCTATTCAGATGTTTCCTGTTCTATCCGGTCTTCAAGACTTGTATGTATATTGTGCTCATGACACCTGCAAAGAGCCGTTATGCAGATGCTTGTGTAAAGGACTGTTCGTAATGCATGGCTGTATGTAACAAAGGAAAGATACCCGAAACTCCGTCAGAAATCCAAAGGAAAAAAAAACGGTAACCCAAAATGTAATGTTTGAAGTGAAGAGTGCGAGTTGGATTAAATGGTAATACCATCCATGTCGACAGCAATCTCTGTGATGCCAGACTCGGGGATAAGGGCAGGCTTGGAGATCTGGCCCTTTGCAGCCTTCTTGTCCATCTCACGCTTGATGCCGTGGTTAACAGCATCGAGAACATTCTCAACAGTGACTCGAGGCTTATAGGCGGGTTCAGTGCCCTCCTGGTAGACACCAGTCTTGACGAGAATGCTGTACCAATCATTGTCGGCAACCTTGTTCACGGCGTTGGTGCCTCGGATATCACTCTCAGGAGTGTCACCGACAAAGTAGACAGTCTCAGGAGGAGCAACAAGACCATGCTCAGTCTGACGCCACTGGCCCATCAGACGAGAGGCAAACTCGAAGGTGGAAACCTGAGGCTTTCCAAAGGCGTGGGTGTGTAGAACGCCGTTACCGCCAGTGAGATCCTTGAAGGTAACTTCGAACATGCGGCGAAGGGCACCCATACCTAGACGGACATGCTCGTGTGCAGCAGACCAGACAACATCGTTATGAGAGAAGTAGAAGGGGGGGCCTTCGTCGTTGGTCTCACTGCGGGTACCCAAACGGCCACCCTTGGACATAGCAACGTCGAGCATGATCTGAATGTCTCCAGCCCAATCGCGAGAGTCGGCGAAGACAAAGACAGCGTCGATGACAACGTCCGAGAAGTCTCGCTCACGGGAGTTGGCATGCTCCTCAGCGGTAAGCTTGCGGAAGGGAGTAGTAGCGGCGTTGTGCTTGATGATATCACCAGGTGTGACAACATCCTTGAAGCCATAGCCCTCAGCAACATGTCGGCACTTCTCGCCCTCACCACCGACGACAAGGACAGTGCCGTACTTCTCAGCCATCTCCCTCATGGGAGTGTGGCCGCAGATGAACTGGCCAGGCTTGATGTCGCACTTGAGCTGACCTGAAAGGTCGCCGCATCGTTCCTCTTCAGTCTTACCACCACCATTGGTGAGAAAGATGTGAGGCCTAAGAGGGGTGTCAGCATTGCACGGTTCAACGCCAGGGTAAAAGTCACGATGCCGTTTATTAAGTGGACCTCCCCAGAATAAATCCGGGGTTGGTGGATCATGACTGCATATTGTGGATGAATCGACTTACACTTGAATGCCATACTCATTCTCGCCATTGAGAACCTTCATGGCCTGGATGGCCTCAGGAATGGCTCGTCCACCACGGACCAAGACACCATCGATGTCGAAAGCGAAAACGAACGAGTCGGCGACAGGCTGCGAGATGGGAGGGGAGATGGGAGAGGCGGGAGACCCGAGACTGGCGATGCTGTCGCTTGAGCTAGAGCTTCCGAGCTCAGGAGAGCTGGGGACAGAGTCGGGGGTGGTGACCTCACGCTGGGTGGGGAGGTTGTCCTTGAAGAACTCGGTCTGTTGTGAAGACATGATGATGGTGTTGCTAGGAATGGATATGGTCCTGTTCAGGCGCACGCGTAACAATCGAGACGCGTGAAGTTGAGGTATCGGTAAAGTGCTTCCAGTAATGATAATCAAACAGAGGTTATTGAGAAATGACTCGGGGAGTGTCAAGCTATTTGTGTGTTTGGTAGTTGTTGATGATAGTGGATATGGAATCTGGGGAATGATGGAGACTGATGAGTTCTACCGTCAAGAACGGTGGGAGAAATCTGGGGCTTTATAGATTTAGATGTCAAGCGGAGAGCAACTGGCAAGTACGTAAGATTCCTGAGGATACAATGTCCAAACAAGGCGCCATCTTGGCCGTGGCTCTGATCGATATCGAATCGAAATCAATATCCATGGCATCTCGGTAGACGCCCGTCGATACGTAGCTCGGGGTCCAATAACCGAGTCAGTCACTGTCAATCGAAACCGTGGCAAGCCATGGATGATTCCCCCTTACCCACAATAACGGTTCCACCGTATTTCTTGTGAGGCATTGTTTTGGTTACAGCAGAAAAACTTTAAGATACAGTATGAGGTAAGGGATGGGATGCGGAGGGCGATGACGGTGTTGCTTTCAAGTCTGAGCGACAAAGGTACTTGCCAGAGCGAGACAGGTGGGTACTTGGTACCCATCTTCCCCTGCTGCCATGTACGGGGACACATTGTATTGGCTACGCTAGCTTCTGATAACCTGCTGTCTCTACTCGCGGCTGGGGCGGGCTGTCATGGATGTTTTTGCTGTCTGCATCCGTGCCTGGGTTCCATTTCTTAGACGCCGTCGCCGCACTAAACCAACCCCATTCTCAACTTCAGTTCGCGTCCTTTGAACGTCATGACAAGCCAGGCACGGGCACGGGCACGGAAACAAGTACAGTATACGTAGGTCCTTGAGATACGAGACATGCCTCGTTCCCACTTGTCAGCCAACAGGTTGTAAATAACGCAAATGGAGCTCATTCTCTTGAAGCAACATACATGATCATGGATCAATCGGTGATACATGGCATAAGCACTCATGATATCTGACTGTTTACAGTAACACGGTGCCACCGATGTTCTAAAAACAATGATCCGTCCTGTCAGACGTAGGACGCGGCTTGGGATCGCCAATTGATTCTAGTTTTCTAATCTGGCTGCCCTGAATCGCGACAGATAACAAAAGCTCACCGCATAAAACGGTGTACCACCGTACCGTCTGATAACGGCAAAGATGTGCTGCAGAAAAGATTTCTTTCTCTGGTGTGGACCCTGAGGCTCCCTGTTACGGTTCGTAGCTCCAATCAGGGTCTCAGTGTCGGCCATTTTCAGCCAGTCAGACAAATATGCCAGGGAACGTCTCATATTGCAGGGAGGCTTGCAGATGGCTTCACAGCGCAGTGGCTTTTCTCTCTCTGTCTCTCTTCAGGGGCCATTCTTTTTCAAGGGCTCGGGCGCGAACTCAAACCTCCAGGGCTCATTTCTCGGCGTGAGAATTAATGCAAGGTCGACGACATCAAGCGCCAGTTCCGCCAGAGAAACCGGATTGAATGGTGATAGTATCCACCGTCAAGCAGCTCATCCATGACGCCAATACGGTCACCGTCAGGAGGAAGAGGCATTGGCGACGGTAGAAATGCACGCAAGCTGCTCTATACCTCCACTGTATCCCGACCAAGACCGCGGAATCAAGAGTCGCTACGTCGATACTTTGCAAATCTGGTACCTGTTTCGTTCTTTTTGCGCGCACAGTTTCGGTCCGTTGTTTTATGTGACGTCAAGCCAGCTCCGCTCAGGGTCCGCTCATGCCCCGCCAGTCCGGTCCGCAGCCCTATCAGCCATGCCGTCCGGCCCCACTAAGGGACACCGTTATCCACCCCATGGCCTAGACGCTATCACCAAATGATTATTCATGCCAAAACCCGTCTCACAAGTGTTACCTTGTCCAGCAATCGACAATTATGTTGCGATCTTGAAAATAAACAAGAGACATGAAATAACACAATTGCAACGAGTGACATGCTCATATCGAAACAGGAGACATCATGGTTGCACAGCATCGCATCTATCTGCAACACAGACCATCCAATACAAGATCTGTCCCTGAAAGCATGTGAAACGCGGTCCCCTAGATAGCCCTTATCACCCCTATCGGGATCAGATCTGCATAGGAAGCACAAGTCTACAGGGTCCTTCTGCGCTGAAGGGTTCGGTTCGTCCATGGGCTTTGAATGGTTTGTTGTTGGCTGCAAGTCACTGCACCGGTCTGCCACATCAGTCCAACCGAGCTTGGCTTGGCTGGTCTTGGCTCGGCTCAGCTCAGCCTTTACTGTCATCTTTGATACGGTAGTCATCGTCGTCATTGGATTGTGCTCTACCGCTCTTCTGTCATACAATGTACTCTCATGTCATCAAACTCAAGCATGCATCTGTCAGCCTTGTTATCTGCTTGCCCTTCCATTCACGCTGTGAAAGAATAGCACCTCGTTGGGCCATCATATATCCCTTGGCGGCCTCCTAAACCACCTTCAGGAAATTCTATTGCTGGGATCATGGATCATAGTGCTTGGCGTCCGTCTCCTCCAAATGTCAGGATGTCTCGATCAAACGTCCGCGCCGACGCGGGGCATGCGCGCGATTAATACAACTCTTCCTTGCATCATCCTTGTGGTTGATTAACGGAGCACAACGTTGGACGAAAATTAACAATGAGGGGGAAACACTGTGGAGAACAGGACAGTGTTGTGTTGATTGTGAGTTGAGTATTACATTACGGTGCACTTTGACGGTGCCATGAGGGAGCCACAATGTAACCGGAATCGATGTTTTTCTGGTGGTTGGATTTTTCCTCCCTTGACAGCTGTCCCTGGTGTCACTGTATTCTCTGCAGAAGTTCTAGAAACAAGAACTGGCAAAACAGAGTTCAAATTTTGCAGAAAATAGCGGCAATTAATTTGGTCGTCGTCTTGAAACCCAAGGGACTGGTA